TAGAACTTTTTCATCAAACTAGATGAAAGATATTTATAACAACACAAATGTATTTGAGCAAGGCATGAAGTATTTAACTTTCATTAGATAACAACATAGGGACTCTGATCTTAATGCAGTTATTAGGAAATATCCCACAGATTCCAAACATTTGTTTTGAAGACAAATCTGCAAAAGTCACTGCTAAATAAAACACAGGTAATAATAATATTGAGCTCAATTTGTTTAGATTCAAGAGTTAAAGAGAGTGAAAAAGATGACATTTATAGGCCTCACTTCTTAAATATCTGCCTTTAGCCAAATGTGCTGCTTTATAGTAAAAAGTAAAGATGAATTCTGAACCAAATCATATCTTTTTGTCTATACATGAACTTATTTCTTTGTATTCATTTTCTGGGGCCTAATGTCACTAAACAAGAACTAAAGAGATGTATACGTTTAAGATTAGAGCACATGAATCTTCAGTCATCATCGCTTTAAATAAAATCTCTATGTTTAGTACTAAATGAAAAGGGGGACAGAAGAGGGTGGGGAGGACAAGGGAGGAAAAGAAACAAAAAAGTTTATCCAAAATAGAAATGCTTAGTGGAGATACTAAAATACAAACACTACAGTTAAGTATCACTATTAACACAAAACAGGTGGTTAAAACAAACAATGAAGGGTTAACTATTTGCCCAAGGTCATATAATGAAGTCACAGAAACATCCAATCCAATCTCAAACCATAAATTACACTCTCTTGATTACCTACTCAACTGGATTTGGCAAAACCATAATTAAAATCGTGAAATGCATATACATATAAATACTATACTAAATTCCAATCTGGAATGAAGAGAGGCTTCTTTACGTATCACCTTTGCCACTGGAAAAATATAACCTGTTTTATTTTGTGTGCCTTGGAAAATAAACTTATTTGGAAATAAGTATAGTTTAATAGCATTTACTGTTAAGGGTAAAAACTACTAAAATGTCACTGTCTAGGTGGCTCAGTTGGTTGGAGCATCGTCCTGTACACCAAAAAGGTGGCAGGTTCAATTCCAGGTCAGGGCACATACCCAGGTTGCAGGTTTAATCCCCGGTCAGGACATGTATGGGAGGCAACCAATCAATGTTTCCCTCTCACATTGATGTCTATCTTTCTCTCCCTTCCTCTCTCTAAAATCAATAAAAGCATAACCCTGGGTGAGGATTAAGAAAAAAAAAACCTACTAGCCCAGCCGGGCGTGGCTCAGCGGTTAAGCGTCAACCTAGGATCCAGGCGATCGGGGTTCGATTCCCGGTCAGGGCACATGCCTGGGTTGAAGGCTCAATCAATGACTCTCTCATCATTGATGTTTCTATCTCTCTCTCTCCCTCTCCTTTCCTCTCTCTGAAATCAATAAAGATATATTAAAAAAAAAAGAAAAAAAAACTACTAAAATGAACCAGCTAACAATATTATAATTAACAAAACTTGTAACTCAGGAATTACGTATACATTAATGATTTTCATGGACAAATTCTTCTTGAGCCTTTCCAGAAGAATTTTAGAAGTTTTGATTAGAGACACTTAGATCAAACTTGCCATGCCACATTAGGCCAGATAAATTTTATATTTTTTGGCGCATTTCATGAAAAAGCAACAGAATATGCAGTCTTTTCAAGTGCACATGGAACCAGCATTACTTATAATAGCCAAGGTATGGAAAGCAACCTAAGTGCCCATCAATAGGCATTTGGGCAAAAAAGAAAAAAAAGCTGTGGTACGTATATGCAATGGAATCTTACGCAGCCATAAAAAGGATGAAATCTTACCATTTGTAACAACATGGATGGACCTCAAAGGTATTATGCTCAGTGAAATAAGTCAGAGAGAGAAAAACAAATACCATATGATTTCACTTATATGTGAAATCTAAAGAACAAAATAAACAAAACAGGAAGATATTCGTAGATACAATAGATACAGAGAACGAACTGATGGTTGTCAGATTAGAGGGGGGATGGGGGGCTGGGAACAAAAGGTGAAGGGATTAAGAAATACAAATGGGTAGTTACAAAATAGTCATAGGGATATAGAGTACAGCACAGGGAAAATAGTCAATAATATTGTAATAACTATGTATAGTGCCAGGTGGGTACTAGACTTATTGGGGGAATCACTTCATAAATTATATAAATGTCTAACCACTATGCATACACTTAAACCTAATATAAAATAATTGAATGTCAACTGTAATTGGAAAAAAAAAAAAACTGTCATGAAAAAGACAAAATATGGGAAAAAGCGATAAAACTTGCCAGTAAAAGTATGAGTCCTCTTGAAGCTTAAGTTAAGACATGAAAGTTCTCTAAACACAAGGCAAAGGCCTTCAGATATTTTTCTACTAAAGCTGAATTGTTTTCACATTTTGAATTACGTAATTCCAAATAATTTCAGACTGTAATATGTAGAGAAAATGTTTAGAATATAATGTGGAAAAAGCACTTTTGAAATACAGTATTTGTGCTTGCTATTTTTACTGCAAACATTAAGATTTCTTCTGCAGTGTATATAGTTTATTTGAAATAGGAGTTCCATACAATTTAAATAAAACTGAGTCATTGGTGGTAACAAGGCAGGTGACCAATAATACAGAATCTATATTATAGATGAAAGGAATATTTTTCAGACATGAGAAACATCGAAAGTTAAGAAACATTTTGTAAAAGAAGAAAAGCAAAATAGACTAAAAAATGTCAATAAGATAGTAAGAGACAGTAAGAAAACAATGTCACATAAACTACAAAAGAACAGTTTCTAGAAGGAAGGGAGATAGTCAATAACATTTAACACCCCAGAAAGGTCAATTTGACCAAGACAAACAAGGTCAATGAATTTGGCACCTAGTATAGAACATCACTGAAGCAATTTTAGTACAGGAGTGAGAGAAGAATCCAAATTACACTGGTTTGGAAAATAAATGGGAATTGTGAAAGTGGAGGTGGCGAGAATAAATGATTGTTTCATAACTGCAACCAAACAGAAAAAAAGTAAAAGGTAAAGGTAAGATACTGTAGTAAACTGAAGCCAAGGAAAAGACACTGGGAAGCATTTTTTACATTTCTTTTTAAGGACTGGGGGAAAGTAGGATATGTCTTATGTTTGGGAAAGTGAGTGGAAAGAAAGAGAATAGATGTAAGGAAATAGGGAGAAGAAGGATCTGATTTATGGAGCATGCTTTTGAAAACTAGTGAGAGGGAAGAAATATAGAGAATAGGAAGGTAGAGCCTGGGTAAAGAGCTGGGCCATTAGTTCCACTGAAACAAAAGGAAGGTAAAGATGAGTGAAGATAGAAACTTCAAGACTGTTAATACCCTCCAGCTCTATTTACTTGGTAAAGCAGGAGAGGTCATGGCTAAGAGAGAAGGAAAAAAGTGTGGATCTGACTGAAGAACCACCTTCATGAATTAGATTAATATATCAATTACTCAAGAGGGCTTCATTTTGTGTTTTTAACATACTTACACCCACATAAATTGCTTATTTTTAAAGGATTCAAAGGTAAGGGGACTTTTTCAGAAATACTGTTAAGGTTTGCAATTTAAATATTGAGATGAAATAACAAGGAGTAGAAATGGGAAAGGGAGCCTTTTTTCAAAAGAGCTTCAACTTCATCTTTCTACATGTATCAGAAATTTCAGCACCTAAAAAGTGGAGTCTTAAAATACCAATACAAAAGAAATATATGTTTTTTTCTCATTTTCTACACATACACAACTTTGCACTGAAATTCTACTTTGCACTTTCTATTGACACTGGTATGAATCAATAAAATCAGTATAGTGATTTAAAGAACCTGAAATGTTTGGCATCATGCTATGACATCCTGGATCAAATAGGACTCCATGAAAAAGGTAAAAAGGAGAAATCGTAATAGATCCATGTATCGATTGCTTACCTGGTGCCAGACACTGTTCTAAGTGCTCTTTGTATTAACTCCTTCAATGTTTACAACAACTCTGTAGATTAGATAACTGTCCCAATTCTACTTAAGAAAATTCAAGCAATCTCAGGTTTCATAGCTCATATTCTAACTCCTACACTACAGTACATATAACATAAAGAGCTCTAAGATTGAAATGAGAGGATCTGGTTTCAAATTCAAGTATCATCACTTACTAGTTGGTTGACCCTAGAGAAATCATGTTCCCTAATCACAGTTCCTCATTAGAATAATCTGCCCTGGGTAAACCCATATGCTAACTGTAAATCAAACAGACAGGTGTTTTCCTAAATAATAAATATATATGATGTTATTATTAGAAAAGAGCTGCTACATAAAATGCATATGGTATTAATAATATCATTTTCCAAACCCTGTCAGGAATTCTCACACCTTAATATATATTACTATGACTCATATGCAAAATGAGTAACTTTTAAAATGCAGGTTTCCAATTATTTTCTGCCAGCTTCTCTTACTAATTTACTGACTAATGAAGATGTAAAGCTTCTACCATAGTGCCTCTGACACATAAATAGCAGTAGTTGGTGGCTGTTTTGTTATCACTAGTTCTACCATCAGCAGAATCACAAAAAAACAAAATTTAAGGATTGTGTATGTGAAATAATTCAAGGTTTCTTATACAAATGCATACTGTGGCAACTTTCCCTCCATCATTCACCCTGCTAATATAATATTATTAGCCCAAATGTCCCCAATAAAATTTTATTTAAATTAAAACAATATTGTTTTCCTCCTCACTCCCCTGGTGGGTGGCTCCTTTCACCTTCATTTCTCTTCCAGTCAAAACACTGGTCTGATTGTTGCTTTCTGACTGTTCTTACTGTCTTTTGAAATAAAGAACTTTGAGCCCACTCTTCTGGTAAACTAAAACTCCTGACATTTTATGCACTCATAACTAGATTTCTAGACATTGCTTTCCTGGAATAAGTTCTATCATTTCAGCTCAAGATAATGTTAGTATACAATGCTCTACTACATGTCTTTGTTTTAGTACAATCATACTGACCTTGAGGTGAGACTGAAGGAAACAGCAAATCCAGGAAGAAAATGTGAAAGAGAAAGTTAGAAAGAATTAATAAGGACCATATTCAAAAATAATATTATTCATAGACATAGACAAACATAAAGTACAGGATTAAAGAAGGGGAAGGAGTCATAGATTCTGCACAGGTACTAAAAATTAGTAATTTCAGAATTTCAACTCTCAACAAATGTATTTTTACATTTTATTTACTCCACTGTATCTTAATGTAAGGTTCTATAGAAAAAAATTTTATTTAAAATTTACCACTTCCTAGGGCAGGGAAAAAATTGTTAAACACAAAGAAAAAGAAGAGAAGGTTAGCGCTCCCCCTTTCCATTTAAGTAGCTAAGTGATTTCACAACTTTGGAGAGCTTAGTTGTATACACACCCGCCTTGTAACTGACTACCTTTACCCACCCCGCTCCATTTCTTGCATCCGAGTTATCCGTGAGCAAAAGGAGAAAAACACTGACAACTTTGGTTATTCTGTAGAATACAGGACTCTAATTTATTTGGAAGAATTCTATATAATATTCTCAAATATGAAAACAAAATTTTCCCCCCCAAATATTTCTCATTTCAAGCCTACCAAAATCTGCCTCAAATGGTGCAATATTAAAGCACTAAGGAAGAAAAATATAAGGCTCTATAAACGTCAATTCATTTCCAATACTGCTCAGCAGTAAAAGAACAAAGTAGCCATGCTTAATATTCCTACAGAGCATGAAACTTCTGTGGTTCAGTATTGCTTTTTATAACAATAGACAGTTTACCTTTTTAAAACTTAATCACTGTCACTGAAATTACTATCATCCTACAAATACTTAGATTTTTAATGGCCAGTGCCATCCAAATTGGCTTCAGGATCTAAATTTTACCTTAAGTATATTTCTTGAATGCAAGCACTATTTCAATTTGTATTTTAATTTTTTCTAATGTTTCAGTACTTAAAACAAGTTTTAAAAGTCATGAAAATAATGAAACAGTTTATTATCCCCATTATACAAGATAAAAATATGAAAAACAAAGAAAAAATTTAACTTCCTCACAATCACACAGTGAGTGTGTGGTAGATCCAGGATATGAATCTAGGTCTGCTGACATACCACCTGAGCATACTTTAAATGTTCTGTGATGCTTAAAGATTCCTATCTATAAAAATCCAAGACTCTTTGGCATATATAAAACTGTAGAATACAATGTTCAAAGTGAAAAAGAGTGTAGAGTAAAATCTCTAAATGATTGTTCCCAATGATCTTTTTACTGGTTATGATGCAGTAAGAATAATTTTAGATTAACAATGACACTAACTGAAATCTATAGATGCAAGGCTTTATATAAGGAGCGGGTAAATACACTTTTTAAAAAAACAAGCTTATTCCTGTCAACAGTGAGCAACTTTAAAAATCTTTTTACCTATTTCATGAGTCATAGTTCATTTTGGTATCAAACTATAGCTTTGGGGAAATAAACTCAGGAGAAAAAATATGTACATAAAATAACTGTATATAATTCTAGCGTTTATACTTTTAAGTAAAAATTTAAGTTAACTATTACATTCCTATCAAGACGGTAGTAACAAATTATAAGGTACTGTACCCACAAGAAACCTTGGGAAGACGACCTAATAGAATTGACTACGTTAAACGAAATCAGTGAAATTCAAGAAAGAAGGAACAAGCAGCGTCCCCAGGGCAAGGGCTGAAGCAAGCAGGGTCAGGTGAAGAGCCCCCACGCTCAGGGGTAACACTCTCAGCATCTTTCTTTCCTTTTTTCTTTTGTTCCTCTTTTAAACACAACTCATTCTCCCTCAACCAGGGACACACAACCACCACAGCATCACCAGTCATCTCTCTTTAACTATGTTAAGACTATATTCTCTGACACTGTACTTCATGAACCAAATCCATAACCATAAATTTTAAAGTAAAAAAATTATTCTCCAAGGAACCATTTTCCTCATGAATTGCATACTGGTTTCTGCCAAAGCTATATACAGATTAATATTAATTTATATATGGAAGATATTTTAAAACATTAAACTGAATATCAATTCAAGATTTCCTTATGGAGATACATTTACAAACATGAAGACTAAGTACGTAGGTTTACATTTTCAGGTTTCCTGTGCCCGAGTATACGGGACATCAGTATAAAGCCCACAAACATAAAGCCCATTTTCCCAAAGAAAAGATCCAAAAAAATGTTTTAGGTCAACCTAAATAAGTAAACTTCCAGGATGTAGGGAAACAGTTACATATCTAATTATAACAATAAATATATTCATTTGGTTACACACATTTAAAATGGAAGACATGAGAAAATAATGTTAATCTGGAAATATTTTCTTCCACTCTCACATCCACTGAAAGAATGTTATCCACTCTCTGCATGCATTTTTAATATCAGTTCACCAAGGATAGAAGAGGTACCATTACTTTACGCATAAAGAAAGAAAAAAATTATACCAGGTAAATTATGCCATGCCATTATTTATACATGTATCCCAGTTTCAGAGATGTCAAAATGTAAAAATAAAAATTAAAACTGGCATTTCATTGTGACAAAACAGGAAAGAGGTTATCTATATTTCGTTTACCCTGCAGAATGAAGTCATCCCACTGAGTTATATGAAATTGTAAGAACATTATAGTATATGAATTTACTTCAACTTTTACAGAAGGAAAAATATATGTAAATTGTAAACATTACAAACATAGAAAAGAAATATAAAAATAATAATATTTTCAGTATAATAAGTGTATAAAAGACTATTAAATCTCCATCTGTTTGATGAAAGGTCTGAATATATGGGCGGTGGGAAGGTAAAAGGGAAGAAATGTGAGGCGATTAGGTGGTAAAATAGTAAAGAAGTTCTGTCTCTATGTTATATATATTTAGTGAGCGCTCAATAATGTGTAGTCACAGGACAGAATGTGACAGATACTATAGGAAAAGTACAAATAAAGAAAAAAGAAATTACTACTTAAGTGAGGTCAGTTAATTTTTCCCCCCTAAAAGGTAGCAGTTAAAAGGGGTCAGGTTCCCACAAACAAATAAGGGGAAAGAAAATTTTAGTCAAAGAGAAAAGAAGAAAAAAAAATGAGAAAATACCATTCATCTTCTAACCTTGAGGTCCATTTTTTAAGAAAACAGAGAGTTAATTCTATCAAACCAAAATGTGGAAATATCATCTGCAAACTACCACAAGTTTGCCAACACATTTTAGAAGATTTATAAAAAAATAAAAACAACTTCATTTTCATTACATAAAATTTCAGATATTAGTAATCTTTAAAAAGCAAGTTAAAAACTAAAGAGGCCATATCCTTGAGCCATGAGGTTCAAGTCTAGCAATTATCTTCCTTAATTTCTCCAACAACCACCAGGAAAGTTCTTTCTCTTACACAGACATGCATGCAAATAATACCCTGAATTAATCTTACTCTTGGCATGATAAGAAAACCACCACATTCTTTATGTTCAACACAGTTCAGTATATTGATCTTGATCCTCAAAAGTACAGACTCCTCTTACTAAAATCAGGTTAAAAGTTACTGCTTTAAGCAGTTCAGACAGTTAATTCAGGGCCTAACTACCTTGAGCCTAAATCCTGAACAAACTGGGAATGCTCTTGCTTGAAAAATGAAAATCAACTGAAGTAGAACCAAATACTTTGAATAGATCATAAATCACTTATAAGTCACTTGTTTATAAGTCAGAATGTAGTTCCCTTGAAAACAATATTATAAGTACAGGCTAGGTTTTCTTGCTAGTCCACAAAATTTATGTTTAATCATGATGGAAAAGCCTAGAACTAACAGTTCTAGATGATGTCTGGAAAAGATGGTTAGTGAAGAAAATAACAGTAACCATCACAAAACAGAAAAATTAAGTTTTCCTTCATTATACTTATAAGAATGTGTGTGTGTGTGTGTATGTGTGTGTGTTCATATACTATATGAATGAATAACAAAACTGATCTCCAGTTCTCTTGCCTTCCTCAGAATAGTCACAGCAGCAATACAATATCCTGGCTTTCCCTTTTCATTTCATATCTCTAATACTACAGTTCTAGGAAATGAAATTAGCAGTCTAGGATCCAAAATTACCTACTGGCCTTCCAACCAAACTCTCAAACCATTATCATTTAATATTGGTCTCAAAAATTAAAAGACCAGCCCAGCCAGTGTGGCTCAGCGATTGAGCATCTACCTATGACCCAGGAGATCGGAGTTCAAGTCCCAATCAGAGCGCATGCCTAGATTTCGGGCTGATGCCCAGCAGAGGCAGCTGATCAATGACTCTCTCTCATCACTGATGTTTCTGTATCTCTCTCCCTCTCCCTTCCTCTCTCTGAAAAGCACATTCATTATGAATCTTTTAAAAAAATAATAAACCCTCTAATATGCTCACTTTAGAAATTTTCAATTACATTCAGGGTTCCTGAAGCTAATCCAAATTGATTTAGTTATATAAGGACTTGTCAAGTTCTAAGTTTTTGTTTGTTATTGTTGTTGCTTTTTTTCCTGAAATTGATCTATAAAGACTATTCAGAACCACCAGGCGATGACTTTCTTGAAGTGTCAATTTCCCTGGTCTACAGGGCCCAGTTACTTAAACACTAATCTAGGTGTTGCTGTGATGGTATTTTGCACATATAATTAAAGCCTGTAACCCATTTATGTAAAAGAGAGATTATCCCAGATAATCGGAGTGGGCATAACTGAATCCTTTGGAAGGCTCTAAAAGCAGGGCTGAGGCTTCTCCTGGAGAGAAAAAAATTCTGCCTGAGGACCACAATTTTGGCTCATGCCTGTAGGAGTTTTATCCTGCTGGTGATCTCTTCCTGACAGCTTGCCATAGAGATTTCATACTTGCTTAGCCAGCCCCCGACAATAATACAGGACAACTACTTGTAATGAATCTTTTTATATAGATATACGTGTGTGTGTGTGTGTGTGTATAGACATATATGTATAAATATACATACATATATCCTACAATCCTTTGTAATATATATATATATATGGTGTATATCGTATGTACGTTTGTATCCCTCCTACTGGTTCTACCACTCTAGTTGAAATCCAAGTGATATACACCACAGTATGGAATTTATAAGTAGTACTTCTTAGATTTAATTAGGGAAAATATTTTATATTTGCAGATATATAGGTGGACTTATATAATCCTTTCTAAAACTGCAGTAGGTCAAGACAGTGGTACAGCACTAACTCATCTATGACAGGAACTACTGTAAGAGCAATGTAGGGGACTATTCATTTTTCTCAAGACCACAAATGGGTCTGAGAATTTTTCATAATGTAATCTAAACCTTTTAATATTGGATATTTTTACATAAGAAGTACTAGGAAATTTTAAAAGAATACTAAGAATTTTCTTTAGTTCAATAATTTTAACAGTTTGCCTTTATTTTTGCACTTAGAAGGTTGCTGAACACCCTTTACAAATAATTCTACCTCCTGAATTATGGTGTGGCATACAGTTGCATCAGCTAAGTGGACTTAAAGGGCAATTCAGCATAAGGACAGCCACATAAAAGATGGGCTAGAAACAAAGACTATGAAAATTATAACCAACAATATCAGAATCTTACCAGAGAAACATGCACTTGATCCACAAACAGTGTACCTAAGAAGTACAATTCAACTTGACATATAACCGGCTATTCTCTAATTCTGACCAAGCAAAATCCCCAGCAAGCCCCAGCAGTAGCAACAGCAGCATTAGCAATTCAGTTAGCACAGAACTGTAGCCTTACCTACCACTCACTTTCCCAGGAAGTACCAAACAAATCCCCCTGATGGTGCAGAGACAAAAACCTGGTGTGGAAGGTACAAACTGTGAGAGGCTGGCTTTCTGAGAACAGCATGGCCAAGAGGGATCACACATATAAACATGTACATACCAAAATCCAAATGGAATAGGATCATGATAAGACAAATCAAAAAAAGGGTGAAGAAACTCAAATTATAAATTATGGGCCACAGATACCCACACAGAGGAAGTGATGGAATGGCAACACAAGAAGCCAGTAGTGAGAAACACAGCATGCTACACACATGCCCTCAGTACTAAATCTGGGAACAAAAGGCATTATCTAATCCCAACTGTCCTAGACTGTTTACTCCTATCTTTATGTTGCTCAGTAACAAATTACAAAGACAATAAGCAAAAACTGAGTTTTAAAAAGTGTTTCTTTTCTTTTTTTGGTTGGTAGCCAAGAAACTGTGTGAAATCCTAAAACAAAATTACAACCTTGTGTGACCAGTGATTTATCAACCGTATGTTACATTCCATGGAAAAAATATATNAAATCCTAAAACAAAATTACAACCTTGCGTGACCAGTGATTTATCAACCGTATGTTACATTCCATGGAAAAAATATATCATTTATTACTCTTTGTCAAAATGTGAGAAATATAATAGCTAATAAAACCTATATCATGGGCTTTGGATACCAAATATATATTTAATCACATTTCTTACTCTCACTCAAATTATATCCATCTCCAAAAATCATTATGGGGTCAAAAATGAATTGAAACGTTTTCAAGCAAGCAATAATTTCAACAAATCAGACCAAAGATTAAAACTTTATCAAGGAATTCCTTTTCTGAAATAGTGAAATATATTCAGTGAGAATTCATTAATCTATTAAAAGTGCTGTATTTTAAAATCTATGCAGTACTGCTGCTGATTTCAGGCCGACACAAAAACAAAGAGAGGCATGTATTCATGAAAGTACATAAGGGTGTGTGTGTGTGTGTGTGTGTGTGTACATGCATGCACGTGCATTGTGTATGGGGGGGGAGATGCAGTGCAAACATGAAAGAAGACATATAAAAACACACATAATCTAATCTTGAGATTCAGGTAATTGTTAATTCTGATATAAAGAACTTATTCAGTTGTCTTAATAGAACCAGAAAATATAAATTAATATCGAGATAAGAGAAAACAAGTGAATGGATAATCAGCCCATATTATTCACACTTTCAGGATAGTGAAAGAGAACTGTAATGGTTGAACTTTGTTATTTTAGTTTCTTGAAAATCAAACTTCTATAGATATAGGATAGGAGAAATAATAACTTCTAGAGGAAGATATCAGGTCTACCACTATTCCAAAAATTTAAAACTTAATACATAGCTTATGAAAGTAGTCTAATACTTCCCAACCTTCAAGAAAATAAAAATAAAAATATTCCTAAGAATCAGGCTCCAAAGAGCAAAACAGATTAGTGACTTCATTCTGTCACTGTCGCTCTCTCTGACTGTTCAGAAGAATATGGGTGATTACTGAATTTCTACTGGAAGAACTGTTTCTAAGCACTTGTGAATTTGTGTTAGCTATATAGTAGGTGTAAAAGAAGAGGTCAAGAGGCATATGCTTAATCCTTAGTATAATACACCCTAGTGAGAGAGAGAAAAAAACAATTCCAAGAGAACTATCTGACTGGATCTGTTCAAACACAGTACATTTCAAAGAATTCAAAGTTAGAGTTCCATAAATATTATATCCAAGTCTCCTAAATTGTCCTCAAAATGTCCTCCTCCTTCTAAATTTGGCCTATGCACTGGTATAATAGCCTGCTTTTCTACAATACAAATCGTAAAAGTCGAAAAATGCATAGCCCAAAGGAACAATCAGCTCAACAAAAACGATCTAAACCAATGAAACAATATTAACTCCTTGAACTTAATGCTCATTTGCTCCTCAGATAAATACTAAGAAGCAAGTGGCTTTTTATACTCTCTTGATTAGCCAGTAGAAAAATTTAATTTCTTAATGAATACTTTCTTTCTAACCAATAATAAAGTCCATGGCTTCCCAACGTATTCCCATTCTGTGCTGCCTTTTAGAGACTGCAACAGTGAATTTATACTGACTCAGAAAACAGTGCATAATAAAGTAACATCAAGCACTCATGAACCTACATTGAGAGAGGTAGACATACTGAAGAGCGTGCCCTCAAAAGTATATAACTGAAGTTTTTAAAATCATACTTTAGCTTTTTGAACAAAGTGGAACACTGTTCAGCTTTCCTTTCCTTACCTTTCCAACTCAGCGATCTTCTTATCTTTGTCATTCTTCTCATTTTCCACCTCCTTCAAGATTTCCAAGAGGCGGTCAACTTCTGCCTGGGCCTTGCTAGATTCATCTTTGTACCTGGCAATCTCTCTCTCCAATTGCTGTATGCGGTCACTCATCTCTGGGCTAGCTCTGGCCTCCAATGCTGCCTCATGTGCCTACAAAGAAAAGTGTTCAAATTCTATCAAATATGCATACAGTGCAGTGGGCAAACCATGTCCCAACGAACTATCTATACATCAATTTCAATAAGATATTATCAAACATCCAACAGCTAGTCTTCAATTTCTAAAGTTTTTCTCTGCTTAAGTATTACACAGACCAAATCTACCTTTACACCTCAAGGAACTTGAAAAACAAAAACAAAACCCAAAGTCAGTAGAAGGAAGGAAATAAAGATCAGATAGAAAATACATGAAATAAAAACTAAGAAGACAATAGAAAAGATCAATAAAACTAAGAGCTGGTTCTTTTAAAAGATAAAGAAAATAGATGAACCTTTAGCTAGACTCGTCAAGGAAAAAAGAGAAAGTATTCAAATAAGAAGAATCAAAAATAAAAGAGAAGTTACAAGTGATACACAGAAATATGAAAGATCAGATGAGACTACTAAGTAAAATTGTTCACCAACAAATTAGACAACCATGAGGAAATGAATAAATTTGTGGAAACATACAATCTCCCAAAACTGAACAATGAAGAAACAGAAAATCTGAATAGACCACTTACTAATTAAGGAAACTGAATCAATAAACAGGAACCTCCCAACAAACAAAAGTGCAGGACCAGACAGCTTCACTGATGGTATAAGTCAGTTCATCTCTCTCTTTAAAGTGTTCTCACCACACACAAAAAGGTAACTTTATAAGATGATAGATATATTAATTAGCTTTACTGGGGTAATCATTTCACACTGCATACATATACCAAATCATCATGTACACCTTGAATATATATAATTTTTGTTTGTCAGTTATATCTCAATAAAGATAAAAAAAGAGTCAAAAATGTATACTCTAGAGCAATCTTTTTTTTTTAATTTAAGAAATATAACTGATACACTAAGAGAGGAAAGAAATAAAGTAATATAAAATGTTCAGTTAAAATAGACAAGGCAGAAAAGACGTGAGAAAAGAGACAAAGAACAAACAAAGCAAATAGGTAACTGCAACAGTAACCTCCTTCTTGAAGGAGGGCACTGTGGAAGCAGTACACTAGGAAAGCATCAGTAATTAACTAAAATAAAGAGGAACAATCATCCAGAATGAATCAAGGGAAAATATGAAATGCAAAATGAGCAAAGTTGGGGAAAGCCATCAACCCTTCTACCCAAAAATAACTTTATTTTTTTCATGAACCTAAATATTAAGCCTAAAATATCAGAGATCATATAAATGACCACCTGTAGAAGCATCATGATAAAAGGAGATTAAAAATAAAAAAACAGAAAATGTGGGGTTGTCATAAACAGGGAAATTTGGAATGATAATGAAACATTATTCTTGATAGTTACCACTCAGTTTTATTAACCCTAAATACACATAACAGCTTTACCTTCAATATTCGAGTATTAAATAAAAAATTACCTCCACCTCTTCAGTGAGAAAAAGAAAAGCCCATCTATCAAATCTGACTTGGTTATAACCAGAATCCTTAATCTCAAAAACAGTATTTTCCTACTTGTTCAAAAGTAACTTTAAGATACTGGATTTTCTTCCTTTCCTTAGCATACGAATATAATTTTACTTTTTGGTACACCCTATATGATGATTCATTATAAGAGTACCATGTTGAAAACGCCCAATATATGAAAAGAGAACAAAACTTGAAGTCTCCAGAGTAGCCTGTACCCCCTTTTTTGTTAGTAACCATATTAACTGGACACAGCTACTATAACTGCTCAAAAGTCTCGGTTCCAGTTCTCATAGAGTTGATAGGTCAGAGACATCAAGTAGGAAAGCACTTCGAAAACTATAAAACTGCCATAAAATATTAGAGGCATAAATCAAAGAAATGAATAGTAAATATGTACACCATATCCTAAATTCACCAATGAGAGTCACCGTCACTGTTAAATTACCTCCCTGTAGGAAGCCTGATGCTAACAGAAGAAAACTACCAGATAATTGAGTTACTACATTGTGGCCTTGTATTTCATCCATAAGGGAGCTTCATATTTTAATCTTTCTCTGAATTGCCAATTTTCTGAGAGTTTGGGGATTCTCAGGAGTAAAATAAAATAGGATAAAAATTCTAAGATAATCAAGGTATAAATGATATTTTGAACTTTAGGGGATTATCACTCCACTGGTAAGTTATGACATATGCACATTACATGTAGAGTTTTCTGGTATGTTCTTATTTAAAGCAAAGTAAGGAAATGCAAAATTTTTCTTTAACCTTTTTCAACTGTGATTCCATTTTCAGACATTCCTCCTTCTTCTGCTCCAAAGCAATCTCTAGTGTCTTCAGCCGTGAGTCCTTCTTCAGTCCTGAGGAAGCCAGGGAAGAAGCATGCTCTTTCAGATCCAAGAGTGAAGCCTAAAAAGAGTAATACACATCTAGAATAAATACTAACTATAAACCAAATGTAGATTTAAATTTTTAAATTTATATTCTTGGGGGCTAGTAGTTTCTTCCCATTATCATAAAGTGACATACTTCTATTTCAAGAACATGAAATATAAAACAATATTCACTTTAGCACGCAAGTTTTAACTAGAATAAGATGAACTCCCAAGAACTACAAATTGAATAATGGTTTAATGAGTTCTATCAATACATATCCATTCCCACAAAATAAATGGAAGTAGATCAAGCTTTGTGAATGTACATAGTCAACTTCAGTAGCTACACTGACTTAAATATAAAATATGCTCCTCTTTTAGAAGAAAAGTTCTTTTCTAAAGAAGATATGTCACTATACTTATGGAACTTAAATTTCCATAAACTTTCGTAAAGATATTAGGAAAAAAATATCTTTCTAATGAAAGATGTCCTTAAACCTCATGAGCTATCATCCGATCACAGGGCAATATTAGCCATTTATGTCACATTAACAGGATTCCCCAAAAGCAAGATCAGAGTACATTAAAGTCACCTAACTGGTTAACATTTAAGATATCTCTGCCAATGGTAAAAGCTGTTATAAATAAATTGGTCTCCTTTTGCATATTCCTTTCACCCATCACCTTTCTTATCATTAGCACAATACTTCTCCAAATATAACTGGGCTTCAGTTATTTTAGGATCTTTAAAACTGTCACTAACAAGTAAGAAATTAACTCATAACACACTGAAAGAGATAAGACATAGGAATTAAAGGATCCATCTACTATGTCTCTTCAAAGCTTCCTTAAATACACTGTAAGGTCTTCCAAAAGGCCTGCTATAAGAATAATAAGAAAACTGTCCATCAAGTACTTTTTATATGTATTGTTAACACCCCGACATATACACACACACAATGCAGTAACTAAGCAAACCAAATAATTCTATTATGGTGATCTTAACCTCTTTCTCTGAGAGGTCGCTTTGCAGTAGGCTGACTTTTTCTTTCAAGTCTTTAAGATCTTTCTTGTAGTTATCAATTTCCTCTTGCTTCTCTCGCTCATCTCTGTCCCGCTGCTCCTTTAAGCGTTCGATGGTCCGCTCCTGGTAAGAGGGCACATCGATACATGAGAAAATTCCTTTCATACTTGTATCATATGACTATAATTCAACTTTTAGCTGATAAAATTTCACACTTCCATCCCCCACTCTAAATACATGATAAATTTTCAAAATTTACTTTGGGAAGAATTCATCCTTCCTATCTATCGTGCTTTAACAAAGATCTGGCTTTGTTCTTTTGATTCCCTTAGGTTTCTTTTCACATAATCTCAACTAGTATTAGATATCCCCAAAGTATATATTCTTTTGGAATAATCCCATTTATTCAATTCCCAAATAACCAAACACACACACACACACACACACACATACACACTCCACTTATTTGACAATAAGTAACAAATATTTGTTCTTTTATGTAATTTATATGGTGCCTATAAGGCAATGAAAACAACTCACAATTTACACACCAAAAAATAAGAGTGAGGTTAGGGAGATTATGTGCTGAGTTTAAAACATAAAAAGGGTAGCCCAGCTGGTGTGGTTCAGTGGCTGAGCATCAACCCATGAACCAAGAGGTCACTGGTTCAATTCTCCATCAGGGCACAAGCCCGGGGGGTGTGCAGGAGGCAGCGAATCAATGTTTCTATCTCTCTATCCCTCTCCCTCCCTTTCTCTAAAATAAATAAAAACTTTTTTTAAAAAAACAAACATAAAAAGGGTAAAGAAAAGGGAAACCATTACAGCTTTTTGTCAACACTCAGGAAGTTTGAAAGTTAAGTAATTTAAGTACATTTCTGGGTATTATTTATGAATATATTCAGAAATCAAGCCTTGGTTCCTGGCAGGCACCCTGAAATATTGTAAGTCTAAGAGACTTAAGAACAGTAACCCTATTCCTTTAAAAATATCCAGTTAAAATGTCCCACTAAGACTCCTTAAACGTCCTTCATTACCACTTGTTATGCTGGGCTACTTTCTCATTTAGTCAACCATTACTGCAAACCTCGGTTTGCTCATAAAGGCAAAATGAAGTAGCAAGGCCAAGACTAGAAAAACAGCAAGTGCATCATTCATTGTATTAATAATTGAAACCCACAAATATATTAGGTACCAATGCATAGTAAAGGAGAACTAATTATATATTGCTTCCTGATGGTCAGTGTCTGATACTATTCCCACCTCCCCAAATTCTAGTTGACCATATAAATAAAAATAACTTTTCTTTTTCTTCACAAGATCGTAAATGGGGGGGTGTATGGCTAATCCTAGAACTTCAGTCACTGCCCTCTAGTGAGAATCCATCTTGCCTAGGAACAGATACGCAATAGTACAGGGAGCTCTTTTCCTTTTTGCCCAAAAGGGATTTCTTCAGTAGTCTATATTCAAGTCTCATCACTAGAAAAAATATTAGATTAATGAGAAAGCAGAAGAAATGTGTCTGTGAACAGTCTGGACCAATCACTCACCTTCTCTGCCAGGGCCTCCTCCAAAGTTGTCAAGGCAGTGTCGGTGTTGGTGGTATCAGCCTGCAAGGATCTGACTCGTTCTTTCAAGCTGCTCATCTGCTTTTCCTTATCTCTAAGTTGCTCTTGAAGATTTTCAATCTGAGTGTGCATATACATTTAAGAAGGAAAAAAAGAAATTAAAATAAGTACAAATAGTCACAACAAGAATAATTTTAAGTTGGAAAAAGGTAGATCAGGAGTGTCTGTGAGTGTGTTGCCTATAAAAAATAATTTAATCCTAAAGGTTTCAAAACTGCAAGCAAAATTTTAAACCCAGAATTTATCACCAGAACAGAGAAAAGATGCATGCATGCATATACATGAATCTCTAAAGAAATAAAAAAAATAGCTAGGGAGAAAAGACCCAATATATAGAGATGGGAATGGAGAGAGGAATTACAAAGAGGAAAGTCATGAGAAACTGGATTACTTCCAAAATGACAGTGTAAATGCCAAGATGGATGCCTTCACAAAGAAAAGAGGGAGGGCAGAGAGTGGAACGGCTAGACAGTAAGGAAAACAGAGCAGCTGTATAAAGGAAACTATGTTTTTTCTATAATAATTTTAATTGAATTTATTGGAGTGACATTGGTTAAAAAATTATATAAGTTTCAGGTATACAATTCTATAATACATCATCTGTATATTGTATTACCAAGGAAAAACTGTCCTTAAATGCTAGTGTTAAGTTAGATTTTTATATCATCTTTTATCTAAACAGCAATCATTTTCAGTGAAATTTCTTACTATAGTTATTCCTTCTTTCATACACATTTTTATGCATTCACTTACTCATGCCAGACTCCAGTGACACAAAGTATGTAGCTGAATCCAAGCTATGGAAGGGTTTTGTAAAACTTCTATTCTAGACAGATGGATTAGGAATTTTTAAGCAAAGAAATGATCCAGTGATTTTATATAGATAATGCTGCTAGCTATAAAGAAGAAATTTAAGGGGACTCGCATAGAAACACAGAAAATAATTAGGAGACTATCAATTCAGGTAAAAGATTTTGGAGATAAAATGAGCTAACAAAGATGGAAAAGGGGATGGGTTTGAGAAACATTGTGGAAATAGCATGCTATCATTAGGAAGTTTCAAATACGCGTTATGAAAAGTACGAAGCAAAAATATGAAGGAATTGTAGAGATACATTCTTAATAAACTAAAGAAAAAATAATAAGGCAATTATTCTAGAACTCACAAACTTCATTCATTCATTCATTCATTCATTCATTCATTCATTCATTCATTCAACATATATTTGAGCTCCTGCTATGCATCAAGTATTTTTCTAGGTGAAGATACAAAAATAATCATAAACAAAAATCCCTACCCTCAGAGAGCTTACATCCTAATATGGTAGACAGTGAATAGTTAATGAAATGAACACAGTATGTAGCATGACCCTAAGTTCCATGGGGAAAAATGAAGCAGGAGAATGTAATCATATTCTTCTCTTGAGCTAATACTAGAACTAGCTGGTTCATTCTACAGAGCTTTCAAAAAGCAACAAAAAAGCTATCTCCTTTGGGAAGACTTTCTTGCTCTTATCCCCCTAAGAATAATCACTGTCCACGCACGCACACACATCTCCATTCTTTCATCTATTTATTTACTACATTTACTTCCACTCTTACATCCATCTATACATTATAATACAAATTCCTAACCTTATTGTAACTATTTGTTTTGTACATGTCTCCACAAGTAGACTGCATCCTGCCCATTCACTCCAGTTTTCTATTTTCATATCTGGCACATATCAGGTCTATAATAAATACTGGTTAGTCAGTAAATGAATAATACATAAACTTGGACTTTTATAACTGTACTTAGGCATACACATAAATTTCTGCCAAGAAAGGAACTATAAAAGAACCCTAGATCCAAGCTTCAGATAATTTCCTATATTAATCAATTTAGTGTAAGCTCTTTAAGGGCCTGCTTCATTCCAAAGCAAGAAAAAGTAAGTCCCTGTCTAGAGTCAACAAGAATTCCACACGCAGAACAAATAAGTAAAGCTAAAAGATTTGGTAAATTTAGAACAGGGTGCCATAAATACTGTAAGGCTTGGATTTTTATTCTTTAACAAAGAAATAATTATACAGGTGCCTAAACGAACTGAATGTTGTTGGGCTGGAGGGGAGGAAAATGATGTCTATGCTTGGACTCCTACTTACTTTTAAAGAGGAGGAATAAACACTCCATAGTGAAAGGCACTGACACAATGAAGAAAGGACAGTGGACACTAAAAATACCTCCTTTTGGCAAGTTGCCATCAGTGAGGAAGATCTGAAATAGACATGTGTGTGCAAGCTAGCTGCATAAGCATGGAACAAACCCAAAAGATGCTGTGCGTGATGTGAGGGAGGAAAGGCATGTACAAAAAAGATTTTTCTTTATCCAGCTTCATGATGAATAACAGTTGAGCCCTACTGAAAGTTCCTGCTACAAATTTTCGCTTTGCTTATGATTCAAAATTGTGTTATTTTGATCAAGGGTCTCTGGTCTCTGTGTTGCCAACCAGCTGGCATATGACTGCTACCACAACATTCCTGCCATTACGCTCTTCTTTTTCACTGATCTTATGTTGAGGCTGTAAAAGCTGTTCACCCTCATAGTCCCATATCATATCGTTTCAGTACTTATCATGTAATTTCAATAAAATTTATAGTGGAGACCTTATTCTATACTAAATTTAATTATCCACAGGATCTGAAATATATGACTTACAAAGTGTTTTGAATACAACAGTCGAAAGAAAAACTGAATCTGTTTCCACATACTTGAATAATAATTATAAAGATAACTGTTTGGAATCATATTAAGTGAAACAATACTCCTTTAAATATGCTCAGAATATCCACACAAGAAACAAATAAACAAACAAACCCAGAACTCTCCATTTTGTAGAAACAGAAACCACAGAATCCCTAAAATACCAACATGATACCAAGTACGACAAAAACAATAATGGTAGTGGTGGTGAGGAGGAGGTAGTGGTGATAACAGGGACCACTAACACTTAAAAACAAAGAGAGTAGTATGTTATGTGGCAGACACTATTGTAAGAACTTTATATATCAACTATTTAAGCATCACCACAGAACTATGAGAAAATTACTAGCCAATCCAGCTACAGAATCCTACTCTTAATCACTATAAATAATGTTTTATGATGAAAAAACGGAAAAAGTCAATCACACAGAGGTGACTCAAGCATCTTTCCATAAACTATTCCTTATTATTAAAGATCATTTATTAATAAACACAGGACCTTATTATTATGGTCACTTATATTAAAATGTTATCCCTTCTAAAGCAAAGAATAAAGGGTGGAGGTACCAAATCACTACAAATGCAAAAGTACATCTTCCATGGGAGGAACATATATCTAAACACAATACACTGAAGTGGTAGACAGAGCCAAAGACACCTAATACCAGGATTGCAGCATCATGATATTATTAAAATAGTCTGCACAGCCTGACTTTCAAGGGGTAGAAGTAAGCGAGATTATTTATATAATGGACTAAAGAGCACTTGACAATGAAACAGCCAAAAAGCTTTTCTTCTTTTCCTTAACTTATTTTTTAAAATATTGAAAATTAATAAAATGATTATTGCCTAAAATGAAATATTTTATCATTCTCTAGGCTTTTTTCTACTTTATGCATACCCCATCTGATCTAGAAAGAAATCATTAAGTACCTACTAGCATGTATTCAATTTCTACATGAAAAAAGTTTTGTAGAAATCAAAGGAATTGGTGTTTATTCTATGTATTCTGTGCCCTTGACGAGAAATGAGGGGAAGGATCAATCAGGTTTATACATACAGCTTATTATCACAGAGAAGAAATAACAATAAAGAATTCAAGAAGGAAATATTTTTAAAATAACCATTTAGAGAAAGAAGACATTTTCCTTAAAATGTCCTTCCTAATCATAGTATAGTTGTTAAATGGGTTGAAAAGAAAATAGAAATAACATTATTATACTAGAGTCTTTCTTCTCCTCATACAATTTTTATTTTACAAAGAGAGAAAAACCAATGAAACCAGAGGAAGACTAATGCTGAATGCATGCTACATGTGATTTAATCAAACCTGCATACCAATTCCACACTAGCACAGATTTCTTGAAATCTTTTGTTTTGGTTTTTATCAGCACTGCCAGTTGTCAAAAGCTATCACATTTCACTGTGGGTGATTTATTCCTCTTGGTCAAGTGGGAGGATTCCTTTGCCTTTGAGGCCCTAATCCCTGAAGGCAGAAGACTTCCTCTAGGACACAGTTCTAAGGACAAGAAATCCCCAAACACTTCTTACAATCACCTGGCTACTTTAAACATCATTTAAGGGAAATAATTTTTTGATGATGCCTCCACAGTTGTTCTAAGCAGCCATCAGCATCAAATTTTTTGTGTGAAGCAAGTTATTCAGAAAGGCTCTGACCTTTTATTGTCTTGGTTAATAATACCTTTCAGTATCAGTGGTAGAAGTATAGTGTGGATGGACTAATCAGCTGGCACTGATTACAGTAATTAATAGAATCTAAAAAGGAAAAATTCCTTAAGTCCCCTAATGTCTAAGCAATTGTTTGTCTACCACTCTACACTTCAGGGAAATCTACAAACAAGGCACAACTATAATTTACCAAAATGAGCAGGTTTTGCCCAGACTATTTACAGGGTGGGGCAAAAAGTAGGTTTACAATTGTTAGAATGGAAAATACAATAATTAATAAATAACACAAGAATAAACTCTGTGCCATGGCCAGTGTGGTTCAGTTGGTTGGAGCATCTTCCCATTAACTGTAAGGTCATGGGTCTGACCCCTGCTCAAGGCACATACTTAGGTTCTGGGTTTGATCCTCAGTCAGGGCACGTGTGGGAGGCAACAGATCAATGTGTATCTCTCACACCAATGTTTCTCTCTCTCTCTTTCCCTCCCTCCCTCTCCCCTCCTCCCTCTGTCCCTTCCACTGTCTCTAAAAATCAATGGAAAAAATATCCCCAGGTGAAGATTAACAACAACAAAAAGTAATACTTTCAACAACAAAAATTTTTTAAATTTTAAAAATAATAAACTTCAT